AGAGAGAGAGAGAGAGAGAGAGAGAGAGAGAGAGAGAGAGAGAGAGAACAAAAATTGAACAATTCTCTGCAATAATTTTCGTAATTTCACGCTTTGGTATTTCGTTGTTCTTAATATACATAGAGCTTAATAGCATCCATATGCATATGGAATGACAAATAAGAAATCATTTAAGTTATAGTTTTTAATTAAAAATCTCACACAATTTTAAGCACATCTTATTTTGCCATTACGTAGTAGTAAAAAGATGGAAATTTCGTTAAATTAAAAAAAAAAGAAGAAGAAGAAAAATGGGACGATCTTTGACTTTAAGGCAATATATGAAGCACCGCCCATTATGATATACATCATGCTTGACGGGGAAATAAACGCAGTTCGATGTATACATACGCAATTCGATATATATATATATATATATATATATATATATGGTTATGCACGTAATAAGTCAGCAGCAGCAGCAGCAGCAGCAGCATCGGCAACGAGTCAAATATTATTGGTCAGTTAACTTGAAAAGAAATCTCGTTTTTTTTATTTTTTTTGTGTTTTGCAAATATTTTTTTTAATCGTTTACTTTAGCTCTTTTTCGGTTGTTTTTTTTTTTTTTTTTGGCCTAACCCCGAGCGCACATATGTAGACATATATGGAATATAAAGAACACAATTAAGGTTATGAAGCGCGGTATTGAAATATAAAAATGATAAGAGATTTCTCTTTTTGCCTTATTTGACATTCGAAAGGGCGATTATTAATTGATTTTGAATTAATTAATAAATTTAAAGAATATTTTTACATTTTTATAAATTAAATAAATTATATGATAAATAAAAACGGTATTGTTGTTTGGGAACATGCGCCGAAGATTCCTTACGCTATGCATATTTGATAGCAGATGTATATAAGAATATGTAAATATGTATAGCTTTTTATACCTTACAAACAACAGCAAACAGGATGGGGGACATCCAGATGGGCTTAGAGATCGATTCTGAAAATGATTCTATATCGATCGGTATTACAAAAAGTGGATCCATCTCAAGTCCTTGTGCGTACGGTTACAATCGATCGCACAAACTTAATATGCCCCGTATCACAGGTGTGATTGATCGAAAGTTGCTAGAGCCTAATTTTTATGCGAAATGCC